ATAAATTTGCATTAAAAGAATGAATATGCAAACCATAATTAGCAAAACACAGAGTATGGTGAATTTTATGGCTCAGAATTTTTTTTAAACGACGAACAGTAGATTAGTGCAAATATAAATGCATAGCTCGACGAAGATTGGTAACATTTATGAAAAATGCATCAGCTGAAGAATTTGAGCCGTAAGATTTCATATGCTCTATTTAATGACTAAATTCTTTGACAAAGTGATTTATGGCCGATCCAATCGCACTTCTTTATATCTGTCATTATTATTCAATATTAAACCATTTTAAGTAGATGTGCAGGAGACGTATCGAGCTTGTTTATTGTCCTATAAAGCAAGCCTCCGTCGAAATAACGTATTTTAAACGGTGTCTCTGATTCCATACTCTTGTTCAGATGATGAGATTCTGACCCGTGAAAGAAAGAGATCCAAAATATGTAGCAATATTAAAAAAAACTTCTAAAATAAAATTTAACTGTCCCAGTCTCCGACTGCATGAGCTCCGAACCCCGAAAATTTAATGTTTTTTTAAAAGTTTTTTTCTTCTTATACGTACATCCAACTAATGTATGATAGACGACCGTTCATACTTCAATTCCTCATATTTTGAATGTTCTTCCTGGCATATCGCTGGGGTGGCGGTTTTGGATTGTTTTATGGGCTTGGAGATTCTAAGTGTATTTAGAACATTGAATCATGTAGCAGATTATATAAGTATGCTCCACATCAGATCTAGGACGCTGCGCAGCAATTAAGAAAACCGGTGCTGCTGGCCACAATGCACCCATTTTTTTGAGAAGAAATTCTAATAGAAAAAAAATTGCAGATACAATCTCTTTTTGAATCGACATTGATTTGCTTAGCTGTATTTCTGACCAAAACAATGATATTATAGCTGTTGCGTGAAGCAACGATCAGCGACAAGGCTGCATCAAAATTAGTATGACCCGCGGCAAAAAAAGGAAGTGGTAGTATCGCAGCACTTGACGGAACTCGCTGTAATGAAGCAACTCAGCTGCGGTCTCTATTGGAAAAGTGTCATTTCATGAAAACTGAAATGGA